GTTTATCTCTCTTTTTCCATGTTATGTTAGAGTTAGCTGAAGTGATATGGCAAGAGCAGTAGTGATGTTCAACAAAAAAAAGTATGAATCAAAAGAGAGAAATGCATAAAACATCACAGTATTCTGAAATCAAACAGAAAATAAAGTTCTTACTAGCACTGAAGACAGGGTGCTGGGCTTGACAAGCAAACATAGCAAATAAGTCTGTTTCCCTCAAGAATGTATCTGCCATAAAGTCTGCAGTGTTCTCACTTTCAGACAGCCCTAGCTCACTGTGAATTGTCTCGGAAGCATCTCTGTAAAATAATCTCCAGGGTGCTGGGCTTTGAGGAAACCAGTCAGATTTGTATCAGCATCAGCAAGGGTTTAGCTCACCATAGTAATTAAGCAGGTGAGAATAACTGATACCTGTTTTCCTGTTTTCTTTCTTCTTTCCCTTCTTCTTTGCTGCTGAAGGCTGACACTTCAAGAGCAATAATACAATGCATTCCTATCAAAATATCAGAACTGTAGGGCAGTTACCCAGAACTGTCTGCAAGACAAGTTATTTTTTTTGCAATATCTCAAGTCAGGCATGCAGGTGAGATCCCCATGTCTGATAGCTACTTTAGAGAATCTTCGTTTATATAATTCATACTTAGGAAGGGACCATCTATCAGGGAGTTATGGCAGATGTTCAGTGCTCTGCACAGAACACAGATATGGATATGGATGGCTCACTTTGGGCAATGTTTGCTGAAAGTTACAGGTATTTATTTCTGCCATTACAGGTATTTATTAGATGTTGCCTTACCCATGCAACACACGTACTCCCCTATAGAATAGTATATAAGAAGTTATGAGTGTATTGTCATCTCATGTTCAATTACCTCCATCAAAGTTTGGCACAAAACAGGATTTTCTTTTTGATTGATCTATGTCATGAGCAAATGCCATTTCTCTGCATTATGAAGCACCTCTCCCTAGCATTTATTTTTATCTTCCTCTTTAGTTGTTTGGGGGTTTTGTTTGTTTATTTTGGTTTGGTTTTTCTTTTGGTTGTTGTTTTGGTTTGTTTGTTTATTTTGTTTGGCTCTTTTATTAGAAAATTACAACATCATAGAAACTTTTGTTAAGACTCTCCTAATTTTTTCCTAAACTCTGTTACTAATATGGGGTCACTCTGCCATTAGGAGTCTGGAGAATTTATAAAAGAACAGTGTGTGCATCTCAAACCTCTCTGTCTCTTTTTCTACATCATTCACAAGTGTATTTTCACTCTTCCTTTGCTGAATTAATGAATAATTCCTACTCTCTGCAGCCACGTGAGGAGCTGGGATTAACTGATTTGAGATTTCTAAGAATGCTTCAACTTGTGCAGCAAAACCAGTGCCATGCAACAAAAAGGGCTCCATGCACAGCCCTCAGCTCTGTTGGGCAAACACCTACAGCTCTTGTCCTGTCATTTCCTCTTTCTTCCTTGCCAAAATAGCATGACAGGCACACATACATGCATTAGGAAATGAATCCTGCTGCCAGAGATCTCAAGGAGCCGTCGCCTCATGCTTGCTTATCTCAAACATCCCATTCCAGTGGCTCTGTTGTTTTTTATAACCCAGCTATGAGTCTCAGAATTTTCATTCTTGTTTTATTGCACTGAATGGAGATAATAGAAGGCATCTATTTGTTTCTGGCTATGGGTAGATGAATAAGTAGGTACCATCTTTATATGACACAGGCTTCAAACCATTTTAATTTAAAGAATTTCTCCTTTCATGCATTGCAGGACACTCCAGACCCTGATGTACTGGCCAAATGCTGAAACACTTTAAAATGTAGACTTTGTAATGTCTTATTTCTTGGTCTTTCTGTTCTAGAGAGACATGGGGATAAGACTCTGAAACTGAAAGGTGAGATCTAATGATAGAAAAGACTAAATTTCACAGTCAGTTGTAGTGTCTATTCAACACACAAAGGAACAAATTATGACTTCTATCTGACTTTCTAAATATTTTCTCCCTCCTTTCTCATAAATATTTATGGTCTTCCTGGCTATTAATTTTGAGGAAGGTAAATTTATTACCTTGGGGTGAGTTTAATTTTCATTTATTTTGCAGTTATCTGTGAGTAATACCTGTGTAAATGCCCTCACCAGGTTCTCAAAGGCTGGCTTTCCATGAGGTTGCTCCTGGCAAGCCACAAACACCTTTACACTTTTCCCTACATCATCAAGTGCCTCCAACAAGATCTTCACAGCTCTGCTCCCGAGATGCTGGACCCACAGCCTCTCTGGGCAGCCTGTGCCACCAGTGCCTCACCACCCTCATAGTGAACAGGGCCCTGTTTCTGGTTAAAGCCATCCCCCCTTGTTCTATCACTAGACCCTGCTAAAAAAGGTTTGTCCCCAGCCTATGGGTCCCCTTTAGGTACTGGAAGGTGCTATGAGGTCTCCCTGGAGCCTTCTCTTCTCCAGGCTTGGGAGTTGTTACCCAGTCCAATACTTCTTTCTGCCAGCAGATCCTGATTAAGGGTGGTTAATTGTTCATTGGAAATGTATTTATCTTTTGAGCTGAACTTTCTTTACTCCTTCTCATCTTGTGAATCTCCTGCAGCTTCACTGAACACTGCAGTTATCATGTGCCTTTTAAAATGGTGTTTTAATTACACCCTGATAAAGGTAAATGAGTTCCAACTTTCCTGTAATAACTGCATTGCCTAATGCCCACAATTCTGAGAATTTAATTTTTTTTTTCCTATTCAATTGATTTTTATTGGAGCTATAATATATAGAGAGACAAATATCTACAAGAAACCATGCCATTTGGGATAATGGCATGCTGCTGAAAAGCCTCACAGGCAAAAGAAGAAGAAACTAGCAGAATATATTTTGCAAAATGCTGTATAAATACACAAAAAAAAATACTTCTACATTGCTGGTTTCACTTCATACTTCACAGTGCTTAAGTGGCATTTGGGAAAAAAATATGAAAACATGTATAGCCCAGGAGTATAAGTCTGGGACTTAGGCCTTTTTCAGCTTCCTCTCCTCTTCCAGCTGTTGGAACAGAAATGGATATGTGTTAATAAAACATGGACTGATTCTAGTTAGGCTAAGCAAAAGATTTTAAATTCCCTCTCAATTTGGCTAGAAACTGAAACAAAAAAAGGAACAGCTGTGAAAGTGCAAAGTCAATATTTACATATATTCATAGATTTTACAAATGAAAAAGAGCATCAGGAGATCACCAAACCTGAGTCAAATGCAGACAGTTACTTTGCATCCAGAATCTCAGCCCTGACACAAAAAGTCATCAGGTCATTATGCAACATCAGGAGGCTGAAAATCCAACATTTTCTCTGTTGTTTTGCTCAGGACTTTAGTCTCTCTCACTGCTAGAATTTTGTCTGTAGTTTTCAATTTAGATTTTCTTTTTGCTTCTAGACATCTTGTTAAATTTTTTTTTGTTTTATTCCCCACCAGATTAGAGCCCCATTCAAGACATAGGACATTGTGCTTTCTCCCACAAAAGTTTTCCAGCATTTGAATGACATAATTGATTATCTTTGAAAACTAATTCAAATCAATTCTCTCACTGAAATATAATCTTTTGTCATCTTTTTCTAGTCTTTCCTGACAGTTCTCCAGTGTGTGCTCACTGCCCAAGATAACCCGTATTTTACTGTTGATAAAACCCCTTGATGCATAAATATTGGATTTCTTTTCCCCAGGAATATGAATTTTCATTATTTTGATGAAATAATTTCCTCAACACCAGCCAGCTCTTAATAATGTTCTGTCTCTGGTACTATTTTTCTCTCCACTCTTTTTTACCTCATCAGCTCTAGAAATCTTATGCAGTGATTTTATATTTACTCCTAGTTCATTGATGAAAATGTTAAACAGTGTCAGGTCTTGCATTTATCTCATTGGTCTCAGCTCCAACAGCTAAAATATTTTCAAGCTGACAAGGCAGTGAGCTCTGAAGGTCCAGGCCAGGAGATTTTTGGGGTGCACGTGAAGATGCTGGTGGGAGACAGCCTGGGGCGATGTTACCTGGCAATGCTGCTACCAGAAAAGTATCTTTGTAACAGTACTTATTAGTGTTTCAAAGCTTATTTAGGGACTTCACCTTCTCAGCACCTCGTCTACTCTGATTGCTGCATCAGTTGCTGCTTTTAAGTTGCTCCTCACCTCTTAAAAACTGCATTTTGTTTCCAGTCTCATAGACCTGGATCTAGTCTACAATTTTTGTGCCTTTTTATGGCATTTCTCTATTACAGAGGGAATCCTTTTCTGCCACTCCTCAAGGAGCTGTGAAACAATCATACCTGAATTATCACTTCATTTTCTGTTTGGTAGAAAAACATGTCAAGTTTCTGTTTTCTCCCTGCAAAGCAGATTGCATATGGATCTCACTGTTTTCTCCTTGGTAATATTTTGTTCTGGGAAATTTGAGATTTTTAGCCTGATATGCCAAGGCAGTGAATTATGTAGTTGCACATTAGGATTTTTGCCTGTCATATCACCTTTTAATGACTTTGACACATTCAGGGCTATTCACCAGTCTGGCAGAGGGCATAGATATCACCTTGAAAATGTTGTCAAAGATACTCTTTAAAGTTTCCTCAAAACTGTGACTTGGGGAAATGAATTCAAATGAACCCTGTGGAGCTGTCAGCTCCTCTGATTATCACCCTTACTCATGGAGCTGCTGCTCCAGCAGCAGCGCTCCCAACCCTTGCAAGCAACCACAGCTTGCTCCAGCTTTTAGCCCTTCAGTTTCTGGGAGATGGATGGGGAGTTTTGCTACAGGAGGAAAGGAAACAAGAGGCTGTAAGCGTCATTAAGCAGAGATCTGTGTGATTCATTAGATTTATTCTTCATGGAAGAACATATTTACACAGGGGACACGCTGTATTTTATTTGATTTGAGTTTGGAAGACTTCTTTGTAGTTTTGAAGTCTAAGAGCCATTCACAATTGAGGAGGGGGATTCAGAAGACCTGTGATGGCTGGTCGAAATGGAAGAAAAAGCACCAGATATGATATCAACTTCTGATCCCATTGAGTATAAACTAACAATCACAGCTGTTACTGGGTACATTTTGCCCTTCTACATGACCTACATGGCACCAAAGTGTATTTCATGTTTTGGGTCAGCTTTGTATTGCAGAAACCTGATCTTGCTCATGTTCCTCATTTCTGTGATTTCCCCTGGGACAACAACTCATCCTGAGTCTGTGAAGGACAAAGTACAGAAGGATAAAAAATGCTATTTTATGTGTTAGTACAAGTAATATAACCACAGCTGAGGTGTAGAACCTTTCAATAATGTAAGGTGAAGGAAGAAAGAACTAGTTCATGGCTATGGAGCTGTTTACCTGTATTTGCTTCATTATTTGCTGTTTTCCTTATTTGCTCACAGTATCTGAGATCTTAGGTTACAATGACACATTTTTCCTCATAATATGCCTGCAAGACAGAGAAATTATCTCTTGCATTTCACGGACAGTGGGAATGGAGAAATGTTAGTGGTTTTAAATTTGCTAATACTTCTGGGTGTCTAACAAACAAAGGTGTCTGTGCGATTTCAAATGAGATCCAAGAAATCTCAAAATGAACAGGCAGCTCCAAACCAAGAAAAAGTCTATATGATCTTTTTGAAAATTTTAGTTAAGGTCAGTATCCAGAACTCCTTGCCTCTAAAGAAAAGAAACAAACTCTGATAAAAAGCCTAGTATGAAGCTGGCATAATGGTATTTACTTTTATGGAGTTTTTCCATCTTAGCAGAGAGATAGATAACCAGCCTACTGGTGAAAAGGATTTGGTCTTCAGAAGCATGAGGAAAAGAAATTACTATGTCTATATAGAATAAATCTTGCCAGATTTTTCATAGAATAGCTAAGACGGTCACTGAAAGCAAAGCAGTTGATCTAGTTTATTATGCTTTTGGATTAGAACACATCATTTCCTTAAGCAGTGAGCAGGAACTGCAGTGGTTGGAAAACTCACGCTCAGAAAGAATTCAGATGAGCCTGAATACAAGCTCTCCTGGGACTGAAAATGAAATTAGGAACTTATAAGGTTAGCACTAAGGGTAATATTTTTGGCAGAGTGAGGTGGCAAACCAGGGATCTTTGTAATTACTGTTGTCAAGTAGCTCCTTCAGTAATGATGCAGAAGAAAAAGAAGATTCTGTGTTAATTCAATTGAATGCCCTACTCTGAGAGGAGTCAGGCAAAGACAGAGATGTTGGGGGTGGGAGTAGAGCAGAAGGAAAACTAGGGACAAATTGTGGAGGAGGAGGAAAGGGAGAAAAAGTAACCCTGGAAATAAAGACTACTCAGTGTTAAAGATCCAGTGTGAGGGGGTTTGGGTCCCTCACATCCAAGTCTATCTGTTAAAGTATAAACAAGCATAAAAAATTGACCTAGAGAGATGAAAAGAGCAATATTTGGCTTAAATTTGCTAGCTACAGAGGTCATCTGCCAGTCTGGAGAAGCTCTTGGTTATCCTTGAGGCATAAAGTAGCAAGTTTTGGTGTTTTGGGAAAATCCATTGGGAAAATAAGGATTTAGGAGTACTGGATTAAATTATCTGGAATTTACAGGTGTGAAGTATCCAGTAAAAATGCAGGTATTAACAGTAGGTATCTCAAAAAGACAACTCTAGTGAAGATGTGTAATGGTACAGTGTAAAACTTTAAAAATGGTGTTCATAATCCACCGATAATTTTATAGTAGGAACATTTTAAAAAATTTGAGTCTCAAATCAGATTATAACAGAAGTATCTAGTAAATTGTGAATCTTTCCCATTTACTCTCAATATTTTTGAGGGATTTTTTAAATAGATCTTAATAAAATTGATGTTTACATAAGGGAATTTTAAATATTTTAAATGTGATCTCTTTTCTGCATGAATGCTGACCTGTCATCTCTGAATGTGTCAGTGATCTGTGACCTGAATACAGTAAAAAAGAACCAGAGTGCCATGACGTGTGCCAGTGACTGCAAGGTCCTGAGAAGGAATACTAAGAGGAAATATCCACTCCCAAAACTGCCGAGAGCCCTCTGGAGGGATAAAGGAGTGTGAGGAGTCCTGCCTGTGGGGAGGGAGGAGCAGCACAGACAGTGTGTGATGAACTGACTGCAGCCACCATTCCCCATCCCCTTGCGCCACTGTGGGAGATGAGGCAGAGAAATCACCACTGAAGCAGAGCCCAGGAAGGGAGGAACATGTGTTAGCAGTTTTGTTCTTATTTCTCACTATCCCACTCTGATTTGATTTGCAATAAATTAAACTATTTTCCCCAAGGCAAGCCTGTTTTGCCCACAATGGTGACTGGTGAGTGATCTCTCCTTGTCCTTATCTCAACCCACGAGCCTTTTGTTATATTTTCTCTCCCCTGGCCAGCTGAGGGGAGTGATAGAGCAGCTTTGGTGGCACCTGGCATGCAGTCAGGGCAAGGCTCTGGTGTACATGCACAAGCTCCCCAGTCTGTCCTCTAACATTTTGCAAAAGAACAGAGTTCTCCTAAAACACCACAAAGGCTGTTATAAGCATTCCCTCTTTCTTTTTCCTAATTTCTTTTTTATTTCTTCCTTTTTTCCCCCCTCTTGTTTTTCTAAACCCCTAAAATTTGAAGTTTGTCACTGTCAGAATTTTCTCTCATAGCTTCAAGGCATCATCAGGTTCTTCAAGAAAAGGGCAATTGTTTAGAAAAAGAGCTCCTAATTTGCTTGTTTTGTGTGGACCTCATTCTTACACCACTTTCTGATGCAGGTGGGAAACTGGTTACACTGCCTTTATGGAGTGATGTGCCCCTTGAAGTCTTTCAAAAACATCACAGATTTGGATCCTCCCATCCTACTGGGTATAAATGCAGCTCTTTAATAAATGTAGCTATAGATAGGTCTTGGGATAATAGCTAGTTATTCAAAACAAAACAAAGCAAAACAAATAAAAACAAACAAACAAAAATTTAAAAAGTAATAGTAAAACCCTGTCTTGCCACTGAAAAAGCTACATTAGATCCATAAAGCACCTTCCATGACCATTTCTGAGTTTGGATTACTCTAAATGCAGTTCCAATGATTTCACATCAAAACTGCCCTTTTGCAGTGGTGTGCAAATGTTTTGTGAATTTCCTAGTCTTTTCTGACATCCTTTCTTGAAGAATTACTTTCAGTGGAATGCATTCTTGTTCAGATATTGTGGAGATGTAATTTCTCATTAGCTAAGAAAAAGTAATTCTTTATTACCTGGGGGCTTGTGGCCAAGTAATATTGTTTCTTTTAACTAAAATAATTAATCATTTCCTGTCCCTCCTCTTTAGATCTCTTCTAGCTGGAGTCTTTTGGTCTCAAGTGTGATATTCACTGCAGCAGGGAGAAACAAGAAGCTGGTCAGACCCACTCCTTCCAGTACTGCCTACACACTGCCTACACTTTCTCCTCACTGAAACCTTCTTGTCATTGCAAAGGTATTTGTGCATAAAATATCTTCAGTGTTATCCTGCATGAAATCCTGCATACTTGGTATTGACACCTCAGCAAATCTCTCCAGACCTGTCAGAAGGTGTGGAGAAGTACAATGAGGTGTGTGGTGCTTTCAAGGGGCACTCAGTGGCAGAATCTGAGGAGTCACAATCTTGAGCCTAAATTGAGAACAACTTCCTCGCAGTCAGCATGTGTTCCTGGCAGAGCAAAGATTCCATCTGTGTCCCAAAGCACAGCCTGGGATGTGGCACTTTGAGACAACCCTAGAGGCAGTGGGAGAAGGGTAAGAGCAGAGAAAAACTCAAAAGAAATAGATGACTTGGCAGCAGGTGAGGGAGTTGGGGTGAGCTGGTCATACTGACCTCTGTAGTGTAAGTGAAGGGAATGAAGGGCACATGTTATCAGCTGGACAGTGCAAAGGGTTTGTGAGTAATATTTTCCCGCAATAAACTCCTCCCAATATTTGTGCAGAGGATTTGGATGTCCTTTGGATTGCTGCAATGAAATGATGACGTGATCTGCTGTGGAATTACTCTCTGAGCAGGAGGGAATTCAGGAGAGGAAACAAGACACGTGAACGTAGCTCTGGCCTTGTGATGGAGGCACCCAGGCTGGGGCTTCCCTCAGCACTGCTCTGGGAGATCCAGCCTGGGGCCAAGGGAAATGGGCCTCGGGTGCCCTGCCTGTTTTACATACCTGAATTGCAACATAAGCATGGGTTATGTGCCCCAAAGCTGCTTAACACTGAGAAAACAGGACAATTGGGGATTTTTTTCCCCTGAGATATGCCACATGACTGTTTTGTGCCCCACAAATGGAAGAGAAATAATGAAAGATGTCATGGGATGATTATAAATTTTGCAATGTGCCACCTCATTTTGTATATGGACTCAGACTGGCTGCTAGAAAAGGCTTCAGTGAGGAATGGTGGAGGAATTAATATGAAGGAGCCCTGAGAGCCCAGATCATTGCCCTCTCTGCTGGGAACGGCTCTTTGGATGCCAGGAAGTGGCAGAGATATTGGCAGCACAAAGGGGAAACAAACTGCACATGAAAACTACAGTGTGCCTCTAAGTCATGTCACTTTTTGTGTCTGGGTTAAGCCCTTTATTTTGGCTTCTGTGGCACAATATTAAATGTATTTTTTGTCTGACTTTGACATGAGAATCTTCTTTGTTTTCCAATCTCTGCTTATGGAATAAAAGGTCTCCCTTGGCAGAGGAAATGGAAGATGTCATCCTGAAAAAAAGCAGTCAGAGTGGCACATGCAGTGTTTCTTGTTATAAACTTGCATAAAAATCCAATGTGACAGTCAGTCTTGTGTAATATGCAGATTATAGTGATTAGTTAGTTCTAATTTGACATAGCTTGTTATCCCTGAAGTAGAGATTGCTCCAGAGCATTCCTTAGTCCTGTTTCAAAGAGTAATCTCGATAATATGATGGAGGTCATTGGAAAAAAAGAAGAAACATACCTAAAATTAACTGCAATTTTAACAGATAAACCATGTTTTCACTAAATGTTTGTCACCCTGTTATGAAGAAAACCTGTAGTCTTTTTGTGTTCACTTATTTTCAGCCTTAGTCAATTGTGCTGAG